TACTAGTACTAGTACTAGTACTAGTACTAGTACTAGTACTAGTACTACTACTACTACTGCTACTGCTGCTGCTGCTGCTGCTGCTGCTGCTGCTGCTGCTGCTGCTGCTGCTGCTGCTGCTGCTGCTGCTGCTGCTGCTGCTGCTGCTGCTGCTGCTGCTGCTGCTGCTGCTACTAATACTAATACTAATACTACTAATACTACTAATACTACTAATACTACTAATACTACTAATACTACTAATACTACTAATACTAATAATAATAATAATAATAATAATAATGTGTTACATTATGTATAATTTCATTTCCACTAGTAAGTGTGTACTTGTGTTGGTCTCTCAAAGAAAATTACAATGAAATTGTTTTTGGTTGTAATGTGACAAAATATACAATGACTCAAAGCGTATTAATTTTTTTCAGAGACATAACGTAATATTTAAATTTTACAACTCTGACCTGGTGTAAAATCTGATGTCTTCTGGTGACGTAGAAAAACGTTCCAGTCCAAACGGCTTTTGAAGACTACAGGATCGGAGCTGCTCTTTCAGTTGCTCAATTTCTCTCAGCATGCTGTGATATTGCTCCCGGTCAACACACGTGGTTCTGCTGGCGCCGTAGTCATGGTCCACGACCATAGGTACCATGACGGGTGGTTCATTGTCCTCAATTGGATCCGCCGAATCAGGTTCTGGATTAGATGGTCGACAACGGCGCTCCCAAACACCTGCTCGTGTCTTCCTGCTGTATTTGTTCCACTCAAATAATGATGGAACCGACCCAGCTGCTAAAATTCGTCTTCCCTTTTCTGTAGTAATTACTTCATTCTCCAGGAAATGTCGGCTACATACCTTGGTGTGAGGAGTTACCGTAAATCCCTCTCTTCTGATTTTTTGCAGCCAGCACAAACGAAGGCTTGTCTCCTTAGGGAAACGGTGAAAGCTCAAATGGCTATTATAGCGACCTGAAGACGAGCAAAGCGGCACACAACAGTGCTCCTTAGACCCAAACACCGTCGGCTGAAATCTAAAGCTGCCACGCACGTTATATTTTTGTTTATTTGACGCAGCAACACTCATTTTAGTTGTTTATCTCTGGGATGACAGGATACAGGAATTAAACCGGAAACTGGAATGCCGACATCCGGTCAAAGCGGAAGTGATTCAGGACGCATGTGCACAGAGCCTATTTGAGTAGATTGCATGGCAAAGTAGACGTCAGACTTAAAATAATAATAATAATTTAAATTTTTCAATAGATGTCAGCCTATCAATCCATCCTCACTATGCAATTTGTTACTTGAGTGACATCCAGTTTAGCCAATCTTAGACCAGACCTGACACATTTCTGACCTAATTAAAAGCCTAAGACCGGCCCGGCCATCCATCCATCCATCCATCCATCCATCCATCCATTATCTTTACCCGTTTGTTCCATTTTGGGTCACGGGGGTCGCCGGTGCCCATGTCCAGCAGTCACTGTGCTAGGGGCGGGGTACACCCTGGACGGGTCGCAAGTCCATCGCAGGGCCACATAGAGACAAACAACCATTCACTCTCTCACTCACACCTAGGGACAATTTAGAGTTACCAATCAGCCTAACATGCATGTTTTTGGTCTGTGGGAGGAAACCGGAGTATCCGGAGAAAACCCACGCATGCATGGAGAGAACATGCAAACTCCACCCAGAAAGGCCCCTGGACCGGGGTTTGAACCAAGGACCTGCTCGCTGAGAGGCAGCAGCTCTACCAGTTGTGCCACCGTGCTGCCTCGCCCGGCCTGCCCATTAATCACATTATAACGGCCCAGTCATAATCCAGGTCGGGGTTCAGGTTTGGGTTAGAAATGACAGCTGTAGCTTGGACACAGCCACTGCTCAGCTGGAATCATTGATGGATGATGGTGAATGTTTTCTAACTTTAAGCATATTTTAAGTTACCCATCCCATCGGTTTTGAGCATCGAACAACCAAAAGAGGCTGACGCCATTGCCCCTGAATGTAAGAGAACAGCTAATTAGCATCAAGGCTAACTGTGCTCTGTTCCTGTGTTTCACTCTTATTTTGATCTGCAGCTCATGTTGTGTGTGTTTCTTTTATTCCAGAATGTCTCCCGGCATGTAATGGTTCGTCTACAAATCACATTTTGGACCCTCCAAGCTCCGCGGCTTCTGCCCCTGCTCCAGCCGTGGCGTCTGCACCGTCCAGAGCTTTGTCGCAGACTAGCACCGCGCAGAGCAGCACAACGCAGCAGCCTGCTGCGCTTGGTAAGAAGCAACCATCATGTTTCAAATCACTTTGGACTTGATTTTTTTTTTTTTTCCTTTTGTTTTAAGTAAAAAAAAAAAAAAAAAAGTAAAAAATGCAGTGTAGTAAAACTACTCATTCACGTTTTTCCCAAGTCCATGTAACCGAGTAAATGTAACTAGTTTCTACCCACCTGCTTACTATCAGCACACTCATAAAGTTTGCATTGTGTACAGAATCACAAAATTGATCCAGCAAACAACAAGGACCTTTCTTCAGTTGCAGTTGTGCCTTTCTTTGTTTTATGCATTTCTTCAAAAACAGTATCTAGACTGGATTTCTGTTAACCACCTGCCATTTCTTCTTTCTTCTGTCTAGGCAAGAGAAAGAGGGTTTCCAGTAAAGACCAGTCTTTTATTGCGGCGATGCAAGCAGAAGACGAACTGAACCGAGCACAGCGGGATCAACACTTTCGCCGTCTTTTAAATGAAGCTCGGGAGGCACGGGAACAGAAAGCAGCGGCAAGGGACCAGGAAGCAGCATTTCGAAAGGAGGAGATCGCACAGAATGCTGCCTTCAATCAAGCCTTCCTTGGGGTGCTCGGAGAGCTTGCACGTGCCATAACTCACAGACATGTGACATAGTTTTGGATGGATGGATGGATGGATGGATGGATGGATGGATGGATGCCTTATGCTTTGCAATTGTGCATCATATAGCTTTTTGACACACTGTAAGGTTTAAAGCTGATTGAATACTCAGGTGTGGCGTAAATATAACTGGAGGTTCAGGTGGTGTTTTAAAGTCATTGAAGTCAGATTTGTCTCGGAGGTAAAGAAAATAGAGAAGGACTTAGAATTTCTGCCTTGTCATAGTTTTCTTGATCCAGTTCAGCACATCAGTAAAATCTAAACTCTCTGGTGCTTTTGTCTTTTTTTTCTTTTGGAAGCAGTACAGTAGTATAAACAGGTTTACTTGTGTTAATTACTTATTATATTATATTATAATTGGAGCTTTGTGTGATTTCATCAGGGGAGCTCCGGGAGACACAATCCAAGGGTCAGAGCTATTATGGACATTGTCTTGAATCCCCTTTACAGTATGGTTGACCGTCTGTCGAGCAGTCGTAGCCAAAGATTACTTCAGCCCCATTGTCCTAAGGAGCGATGTAGCAAATCTCTTTTGCCTGCGGCTGTCTGACTTTTTAATAACATCTAAAGTTGTAAGTCTCAAATGAAGAATATATTTTTATCTATCCATTGAGTGATTTGTGTGTGTAAGACTTTTACTGTTTATTGTTTTTTATTGTTTCGTGTTTTTGTTGTGTGTTCTATACCAAACCTGGACCCCCTCCAGTTCACATACCAGCAACGCACTGGGGTTGATGACATCATCATCTACCTGCTGCACCTACACACACCAGGCAGCGCTGTAAGACTCATGTTCTTTGACTTCTCCAGTGTTTTTAACACCATCAGACCTGCTCTGCTCTGCAGCAACTCCTGGACATGCAGGTGAAGGACTCGCTGGTCACCTGGACCAGAGACTACCTCACAGGTCGGCCACAGTATGTGAGGCTGCAGAGCACCACCTCAGACACCAGACTGAGCAGCACAGGGGCTCCTCAGGGCACGGTCCTCTCACCGTTTCTGTTCACCCTCTACACCTCGGACTTCAGGTACAACTCACAATCCTGCATCTGCAGAAGTTCTGGATGACTCTGCCATTGTGGGCTGCATCACTGGTGACCAGGAAGCTGAATACAGAGGTGTGGTGGACAGGAACCACCTGCAACTCAACGTTGGAAAAACTAAAGGGCTGAAGGTGGACTACAGGAAGAAGACCAGCCCCCCCAACCCTATATCAACATCAAGGGTACTAAGGTGGACACTGTGGACTGCTACAAGTACCTGGGGGTCCACCTAGACAATGAACTGGACTGGACAGCTAACACCAACGCCCTCTACGAGAAATGGCAGAGTCACCTTTTTCTTCTGAGGAGACTCAGGTCCTTTAACATCTGCAGGACCATGCTGCAGATGTTTTACCACTCGGTGGTCTCCAGTGTCTTCTTCTACTCTGTGGTGTTCTGGGGCAGCAGGGTGAAGAAAGATAAACTCATGAAGAGAGCTGGTTCAGTTCTGGGAGTGGACCTGCAGTCTCTGACAGAGGATGCTGAGGAAACTGCTCCAGATGTTGAACAACACGTCTCACCCCTGCATGACACCTGGACTCTTACCTCAGCACCTTCAGTCGTAGACTGAGACCACCGAGGTGCTCCACAGACCGACACAAGTCCCTGTGACGATCAAACTTTTCAACTCCTCCATCTTTTTGCACCCAGGACAAGTGTAATAACCCGATTATCTTCACAGTCAGGATGTTTTTTTTTTTTTTTACATTTATTGAAAAATACATAAATTTTATTGAAATGCACTGAGGCATTGGATGTATTTTATTTTGTATAATATTGTTTCAGAGTTATTGTTAAAATACATATCCTAACTAACAGATTAATAACAGTTTGTGAATGTTACGGAGGTAGCGGTGAGTGAACGAACGTGCAGCGAGACCGCTCGGAGCTGAAAAAACTTTGAAAAGTGCTGGACGCCGCGTTTATCCAGCTTGGATCTCAGTTTCGTGCCCAGAAGACTGCGGAGGAGTCCCTGGTCGAACTGCACAGCAAAGAATTGAGTCTGGGCTGTGTCTTTTTCCCTCGAGGTGCTGAACTGAAGGGGGACGAGTGACGCAGGGATCCAGCCATCCGTTTGGAGCGAGAGTCACGGGGGGAGCTCTGAAATTTGGTGGTCGCACCTTCAGTGCATCGTGTGGACAAGGAAATATTCCAGACCGGTAGGATTATAGTTTCCATAAATAATATGAGCTCCAACGCGCACCAACAAACTCATGTGCACGCTTGCGTAAAAGAAAAATTTATTTAATTTAAATTGATCTCAAGTAATATTCTAATTTTCTGAGATACTAAATTTAGGGTATTCAGTAGTTGTCAGTTATAATCATCAACTTTAAAATATTTGAAATATATCAGTCTGTGTGTAATGACTGAGTACAAGTGTCACTTTTTGAATAAAATTACTGAAATAAATCAACTTTATTCAAAATGTTATGACCAGCACACTTTAAAAAAAGTTGCGTACGGTAATTGTGGTGAGGGGACTGTAATTTTATATAGCTTTTATTTCTAGTGTTGCTAGTTCAGCTATCCGAAAATGAAATGAAGGCATGTTATTATTTTTTTTTTTTTATGTTAAGTACAGACCAAAGCTATGTGAGCTGTGTATTTTTATAGATTTGTTTGTGTACATTGTGTTTTGCCACCAGTTGATAAGCTCCCTGTTAATTCTAGGTTTTTTTTTTTAAAAAGGTACTGAAGGTGGACTTTTTTTTTAAGTTTTGTTTTTGCCACCAGTGTTACGCTATTGTTCTGTTAATCCTTTAAATTGTGTTAAATAAAGAAAATAAATGAAAAATTTAAGGAGTGATTTGTAAACTCTAATCCAACTGTTTCTAGGACCATGTTTCCTGCTGGTGGTCAAATGAACTACTTCCCAACTTCAGTCGCAGTTTTAAAGTACTTTTCATATGCATAGCATAGAAGCAGCATTTTTTAAGTGACTAAAACAAGTTAAATATAATAAGAGCCTATTTAAAATAATAAATATAGTTAGTTGACGTGGAAAAGACGTCTATATTAACACGTCAGTTAAACGTCGAAACTAGACGTCGGAAAAAGACGTCTATATTGCAATGTCCCATAGCCGTCGAAACGACGTCTTTTAGACGTCGGAAAAAGACGTCTTCTGGCGTCACAGTCTGCACCTCCGAGGGACCCAATTTAGACGTGCAGAAACGACTTAAAAAAGACGTTGTGTAGACGTCTCCTTGCTTAGTGGGTGGAAAAAATAACATTAGACGTCCAGATTATGTCTATATTGGGTTGAAGACCAATTCTGGACGTTTCCCCGACGTGCAAACAAGGTCCACTTTTGAACGTCTAACCATGACCGCATGTGTACGTCGCTATAACGTCAGACTTGGAGGTCATTTAGACGTCGGAAAAAGACGTCTATATTAACACGTCCGTTAGACGTCGAAACTAGACGTCTTTTGGACGTCGGAAAAAGACGTCTTCTGGCGTCACAGTCTGCACCTCCAATTTAGACGTGCAGAAAGGACTTCGTTGTTTAGACGCCTCCGTGCTCAGTGGGATACAATGCATCTGGAAAATATTTACAGCGCTTCACTTTTTCCACATTTATGTTATAGCCTTATTTCAAATTGTATTAATCTTAATTAATTAAATTAAATTAAATTAATTAATTAAATCTTAATTAATCTTTTTCCTTAAAATTCTACACACACTAACTTACGACGTAAAGTTGAATTGATGGATTAATTGAATAATTTTATATTATACCTCTTTTAACTTTATTTGTTATGCAATTTTTTTTTTCTTCCATTTAACCAAATTTGATCCAAATTTGAGACGTCTCCTTGCTCAGTGGGTGGTTCCTTTGAAGAGCTGCACCATGGAGTTTGGTAGAGCATCAAAAGCTTTTTTTAATTTTTTTTTCTTTATTTAGAACTTTACTTCAAATACAACAATCTAAAAAATACACATTAAAGAACATTAAACATATACATAAACCCACACACCCCCCAAAAAAAACCACCAACAACACCCCCCCCAAAAAAAAAAGAAAGCAAACAATTATTTAAAAATTTTAATAAAAAAAAATACAAAGAAATAAATGCGAGTCACAAAGTTAAGTTCAGATCAAAAACCGGTTTCCTATGGATTATTTTACTTTTATGGATATGGAATTTATCAGAGCATCAAAAATCTGCCCAGCTCTCGAACCTTAAAACATTAATCGCGTGACTCAGACTAAACTAATCAAGCACCGACTCAGCGATCTTAGTTGTTTTTAATGAGGCTTAGCTTTAGCTTTAGACGGATCGTCTCTACTCCAGCGAAGTTTATGTAACGTTTACAGTAAACCCAACTTATTGAGTTCGCCTCATTAACTGTTAAAAGAAACTTTAGATCAACGAAAGCTAACAGATCAGCTGTGAAGACATAAGGCTAAACAACGACGCGGTTATATGTCGGAGTTTCTGGACAAAACAGGCCCAGAGATTATGAAGAGGAACGTCTCGTTTAAAAGAAAAAATGCAACAAAACAAAATCCCGGATGCTGTTTTGAACCCCAGAGATCGTCTTCACTCATTGGGTTTGTATAAATACATTCATCTTATTTAATGTGATGATGTTAGCTGCAGTTTTTGTAGCTAAGTGACTTAGCATCGACTTGAGTTTTGAGGATCTCGTGATGTGCTGTTGCACTTTCACCTCTTTTAAAATCCATCCAGAACCGTGTGGATGGATTCAAAAGGACTGTTATCTTGGTGCAATTTACTTTAGTTTCATTGAACTGAATTTTAGTGGGGATGTAACGTTAAAACTACATTCAACTTTTATTTATACAGGTTAGTCTCATTGAGTCTCAAGGACCCAACAGTCAGTGTATGTAAAGTTTTGATCATTGCTGTTTCTTGACAAAAGATAAATACATTTTTACTTCAAGTCTGCATCAGTGCAGGGAGGCCGAACTGATACATCTGATCAGATTTCTTGGTTCTCCTTCCTTCTTTGGATAATGACGGGGAAACACTGGATCAGTTTTGAAGTTTAGAAGAAGGTTTTTATTGTTCCTTAAAGAACCAACTAAAATCTCTTAAGTTTTACCATCTTCTGGGAGTCAGCCATAAGGACCTCTGTCTCTTACGGATTTAGTTTCATGACATTTTTCTGACCCCTTGAGCTGATCAGTGAACTCAGTGATAACACCAGTGATGTTTGTGTGAATATAAAGTTATAACTGTCCTTATTGTTCATGTGTTTCAGTGTTCCCTGCAGATGTTCATCAGACGGTGCTGATTAAAGAAGAAGCTCCTGAAGAACGGAGTTGTGGTGTGGACCAGAAGGACCCAGAGACCCTCAACATAAAGGAGGAAGAGGAGGAACTGAGGACCAGTCTGGATGTGGAGCAGCTCAGTGTGAAGGAGGAGACTGAAGACACCAGGTTCTCCTTCACTGCAGTTCATCTGAAGAGTGAGGATGATGAAGAGAAACCTCTGTTCTCTGAGCTTCATCAGCACCAAGTGGAAGATGGAGATCTTCCAACCAGCAGCTCAGCTGACCAGATGAAAGCAGCAACTGGTGGAGAAGATTGTGTTCAACTCTACAGATCAGGTGTGTGTTTTGGGATCATCGTCAGTGTTTTTAAAATTTTAGTTACAGATTTTAAGAAGATAATAATCTTAGCTTTTTAGGAACATTTTGGGTAACTGTTCTTTGGGTTTGTATCTTAACTTACTAAATGATAAATCGGTGTTAATGTGCTTACAATGTGACAACAGCAGATGTTGGTGCCTTTTTACTATATGAACATTTTATGTTTCTTTTTTACCCTATACAAGTAAAAACCTAGTGATCCATTATTTTAGAGGTTCCCATCAGGGCTGACAACTATCAAACATCATTTTGCTCATTTGGTGCCTCTTGTACAAAGACATGCTTGGATTTTCTTTTGAAACTGTGCGTACACCTAAATCGAGAAAATAACATACAGTAGTCCCTCACTTATGACGGAGTTACGTTCCAGACGCCCCTGCAATAGATGAAAATCCGCAATGTAGGGATGTTATATTTATTTTAGTATTTATATATATTTTAAGGCTTTATAAACCCTTCCCACACTCTTGCAATGTTCAAACTGTCTAAACGCTCAGAAGAGAGCAGACAGACTGATGCTACGGTCACTGAGCCAGTCCTGGTGGCCTGACCATCAGGAGCACCGAGACGTCTCTACTCTGCTGTGACAGAGAGCCTCGGAAAGAGAAGGGGGGGGGGTCTGTTTTATACCTGAGTGAGCCGCGCTCAGCCACTCTCTCTTTTTAAAATTGATTTAATCTAATTTTTCCACCTAAGCATTTTCTCAGATATTCTACATTTGTTCATCTGATCTGTTCCTCCCTGCTCCCTTAGCAGTAGAGACGGGGAAAGACAGACTCAAATTCCTGTTCTGACTGATCATTTTTTAAATAATTTTTGAGTTTACATTAAACGACAACACAGTCACTGAGAGTAAATTTAATTTAGGAGTTGTTTATCAGAAAACGCTGCAAGGAAAGTTAAAGATTCTCTTCCATCATTGTTTTCCTCCGTCTTGCTGAGTAATGCATCAGAGCAGTGACTTAGATCATCTGGTTGATAAATTTACAACTTCTTTGCAAACGTCACTTGATAAAGCTGCTCTGCTGAAAAAGAAAGTAATCAATCAGAGGAGACTGGCTCCTTGGTTCAATTCTGAGTTACATACTTTAAAACTGACAATTTTTTTTTTTGCGATATAAGTTGAAACTAAATCGATATAAAATTATAGTTTTATGCTTGGAAATCCTCCTGTTGTCTTCTTTCTCCCATGCGGCCCCTCCTCCTTGAACACAAACACAGCCCAAGACGAGATGTTTAACACAACAAGTAAACACGGGAGAAACACAGCAGCTTAAGCCCTATTCACATGGGATTAGTTTTACCTAGGGACCACACGTAATAAATAAATAAATTACTCCCAACGTCTCCTTTTTATGTGGCACATTCACACGGGATAACCAAAGCCTGTTCTCCTGAAGGATCTCTTCCCAGACCTGGATTAGAGCATCAGTTAGCTCCTGAACAGTCTGTAGTGTGATGTGGCATTGGTGGATTGACCGAAACACGATGTTCCAGATGTGCTCAATTTGATTCAGGTCTGGGGAGCGGGCAGGCCTGTCCATAACATCAATGCCCTCATCATGCAGGAACTGCTGACACACTTCAGCCACATTAGGCCTAGCATTGTCATGTATAAGAAGGAACCCAGGGCCCATTGCAACAACATATGGTCTCACAATGGGTCTGAGGCTCTCATCCCGGTACCTTATGGCAGTCAGGGCACCTCTGGCTAGTATATGGAGGGCTGTGTGGCCATCCAAAGAAATGCCTTCCCACACCATGACTGACCCACCACCAAACTGGTCATGCTGGAGGATGTTGCAGGCAACATAACGTTCTCTACAGTGTTTTCAGACTCTGTCACGTCTGTCACATGTGCTCAGTGTGAAACTGCTTTCATCCGTGAAGAGCACAGGACGCCAATGGCCAATCTGCCAATTTTGGTGTTCCCTAGAAAACGCCAATTGTCCTGCACAGTATTGGTCTGTAAGCACAGGCCCTATATGTGGATGTTGGACCCTCATACCACCCTCATGGAGTCTCCTTCTGACAGTTTGATTGGTAACATGCACATTAGTGGCCTGCTGGAGGTAATTTTGTAGGGCCCTGGCAGTGGACCTCCTGTTCCTCCTTGCACAAAGGATGAGGTAGCGGTCCTGCTGCTGGGTTGTAGCCCTCCTACGGCCCCCTCCATGTCTCCTGGTGTACTGGCCTGTCTCCTGGTACCCATTCCATGCTCTGGACACTGTGCTGAGAGACACAGCAAATCTTCTAGCCACCACTCGCATTGATGTTCCATCTTGGATTAGCTGCACTACTTGAGCAACTTCAGTGGGCTGTAAAAAAAACTCCTCATGATGCCTCTTATGTGTGACAGCACTGACAAAATGAAAAAGTGACTAAAAGTTCAACCAGAAAGGACGAGAACGGAGAAATGACCTGTGGTCACTACCTGCAGAATCACTCTTTTGTAGGGGTTGTCTTTCTAATTGTCTCTCATTTAGGGCTGGGTACCTTTCTAAAAAAATCAGTATCGGTACCGGTGTCGGTACCTTCACTTCGGTGTCGGTTCCTGGACGGTTCTTTTTTCGGTACCAATTTTGTAATTACTATTAATTCTAACAAGAATAAAATTACGTTACACATTACAGTACAAATTGTGAGTTTTATTTTTTAACTTTGGTATTTTTCTATTCCAAGCAGTTTTCTTAACATAAAAACATAAACAAATAATTTCCAGTTCAAAAGACCAGTTACAAACCAGTGACACGTCAGTGTCTAATGCTCACTGTTACACACTGAGGACCTTTTCACTGAACAGTTTTTCTTCAGAAACATCAATATGTCTGTTTTCTCTGGACACAAACAAGATGCTCCTGGCTGATGGTGTCTCCAGCAGTAGAAAATGTTCACTCCGAGGCTGTGGATGATGATTGTTGCACACACAGATACCTGCTTGCCAGTTTGACATTGTCCCTCACATCCCACCAGCAGGTCACTGGATTCACTGAGGTAGGGATGATGCGGACTTCTGCACCTCTGTGTCTCTGCCTGAATCTTCTCTGGGGTTTAGGGCTCTGATCATCTCCCTAATTGGCATTAGAACAAAACATCAACAATAACATGGTTGTGTTATTATTGATCAAAAAACATTATCTAGGCTGAGAGATAAAGGTTTAACTGGTCAACAAAATCCTTTAAAGTTTAATTTACCTCCAACATGCAGCTCCACTGTAGAAAAAGCAGCAAATTTTTAACAACAAAGTCTGATTGTCCTGTGGCCCCCACCTCACTTTTCTTTTGTCTGTCCTCCTCACATCTGGGTCAGAACCTCATGTGAGGAGAACATGAACATAAACAGTGAACATTAGTGAACTGTTTAAGCAGCTGATCCAATGGACGAGCAGTTTTACAAGCTAAGATTTATGTTACTGTCAATCTTTAGTTAGCTTCTGAGTTTAGCTAGCTACGTAGATAAAATAAATTTACACACTAATATGTTAAAGGTAGCGTTACATGGATCATAGTTTATTTCACCGCGATGTACATGTTAAGCTGCAGTTACGTTGACAAACCTAAACTCACCAGCTGAAACTCACAGAGCCGTCCTCGGAGTTCTTTGATGAAGAGTCCGGTCGTGGAGATAATGAATCAGGACGTTCAGGCTCTACTCACAGGCTGACTTTAATGCTGAGAGGAGGGGGGCTGCTGAACTCCTCTCTCCTCGCAGCAAAACATGGAGCAACTTTCTGCAGCGCGTGTTGTCGAAGCCGTTCGACAACACGCGCTGCACACGTGAACCCATCTGTGGGCATCACCATAGACGTAATTATACATAGATTAGGTACGGCAGCTCTATACAGCTCTGGATGTAATCTGGGTGTAGTCTGTTTGTCATATGTCTGGTGTTTTGCCTGCCTGCATGCTGAAACCACGTGACGCGTTACAGCCAATACCGAAACTTGACACCAAAAGAAGAGTGACGTTTCAATACATACACCGACTGGTGCAGTTCAGTCGGTGCCATAAAAGAACCTCGGTTCGGTACTCAGCCCTACTCTCATTCCACCTGTTGTGTGTTCCATTTGCACAGTAGCAGGTGAAATTGATTCACAATAAGCATTACTACCTAAGTGGTGACATTGATTCCACAAAGGCGTGACTGATTTGGAGTTGCATCATTTGGTTTAGGCGTTCCCTTTATTTTATTTTTTTAGCAGAAGGCATTTTAAACCCCTCCCACACTGTTGCAATATTCTAAACAATATTTCTACATTATAAGGCTCTTAAAGAGCATAGCATGTCATAATTTCAGCTCTTTGCCTCCGGCTGCACTCTTGGCCATGCCCACTTCTCCGCTCTGCATGGAGATCAGCTGATCTAGTCACGCGAGTCTCACATGCTCTGTGCATGCAGGGGGATAGGTCTTCATGACTCAATAAGAATGCATTCACACCAGTCCTGTTTAGTCCGCTTTGACCAAACTCTAGTCCGTTTGCTTAGAAAGTCCGGTTTGTTTGGGGAGGTGTGAATGTGCAATCAAACTCTGATGAAGACCAAAAAAGCAAACTCTGGTCCGCCTAAAAGTCTAGGTCTCGGTTCAGTTGAAGTGAACTCTAGTGCAGTTTGAATGCATTGTGAATGCAAGCAGACCGGAGACTGCTTCAGAAGCAGGAAGTGGACTACAGCGCAGGGCATTCTGTGTAAATGCAACCAAAACAAACGCGCATTTCTCATGCCTCATACGGAGCCGTCTCAGCCGCCTTGTGTGGAAAAACAACATTCTTCATGGTCTTCTGCCTCATCTGGCCCTCATGCTGAGTCCATTGTTGAAAAATTACAAAACAGAAATCCTAAAACTGCTAAAATTTGATGCCACTCCATTTTTGTTTTTATTTCCAGAAGAAGCAGAAAAAGTGTATTCTTCAAATTGAGCATGCATCAGGATATTCTTCAAAGGTTTTCGTGTTGTTTCC